ACCTGCACATTTCACCTACGTTGAGTGCTGCATGTCCAGTGATGCCACTCAGCATGGCCCATGTTCTTGACGTAGGTGGCTCTGCAAACAATCTCCCATAATCCTCATGTTCTGTTCTTTGATTTCACACTCTTGGTGTAGAACTGTCACACAGATGTAGTATCAGGAGAGGCCTAAACTCCGTGCATATAAGGGGCTTACCTCCAAAGGACAGCTGCTGAAGTTTGATACCTGTTGATACCAGAGTTTGATACCTGTTCCACAGAACATGATTTTCTGTCCAGTTAATGTGGGCACGTGAGAACATGTGATCTGAACTTGTCTGCCAGGGCTGAGCCTGCAGAGCAGCTCCCTGGACCAGCCATTGTTGAGTGTGCCGTAGGGACGGACCTGAGGGTAGAAGAGTCCACTCAGTAAATCATCCTGTCCTGGGAGCTGGGTTGGTCCCTGGACAAGCCCTGTTCAAGCCGTGTGTTTTTCCTGCAGCTTCACTAGAAGTGAAATAGCAGCTGTTAAGCTGGTGATGTTCACCAGCACCAATTTTTTTTAAGTGGCACTTTGACAGCAAGACTCAGCTCTTTGATTACCCAAAGTGGAAGAGATTATGAAAGAAGCTAGTGGTAGGAGGCTTGTGTTTTCCTCAGCGTGGCTCCATTGTGCATGCTTGGTATTAATGTTCCCCCAATTGCATGGCTTGTGTGGGTTACTGGAGAGAGCAATTTTCTCTGATGACTGGCAAAAAAATGTTCAGTGCACAAACATTCCTAGAGGGTTGGGAACTGGAATTTAGGCCACAGCTGACTGCATCCTCCTCAGGATCTGTGCTTTCTGGAGAGTCTAGCGCTGGGGACACTGGGGTCAAGCAGCCTTCATAGCTGATAACATTGTTAAAATAATGTCTTTTTATCTTGCAGCGCAAAGAAAGGAAGTGCAAGCCCGGGCGGTGTTCTATCCTCTGATGGGCTTAGGGGGTGCAGTCAATATGTGCTACCGAACCCTCTATATTGGGACAGGTGAGTAGCTTTTTCCTGCCCTGCCCTTTCAGAATCAGGGTGGTTCTCCCTGACCCTCCCTAAGTGTTTGCCAAGTGGGTGTCAAAGAAAACGGACCCGTTGTGGCCACTTGTACTGGGATTCTTCGCTACCAAGAAGTGTGGAAATTCCCCATCCACTTGAATCTTTATGGTGTTGCGCCTTTGTAACCTGTCTGGTATCAAAATTAGCAGAATGGCTGTCCTGGAGATTTAATGCCGGACTGATGGAGAGAAGAGGTAGGGTTTGCTTGCAGGTTTCGTTTCTTTCTGCTTAGATTCTTCTGGTGCTCTGGATAGACCCAGTAACTGTGAAATGCTCTTCAGCCTTCATGGAGCTGCTAGCCTTCCCTTCCCCCACCAAAATTTTGTTCGGTGGCTTATCGCAGCATTATTCATGCAGTCCTAGGAGCAGACAAAGGCAGTTGCTCCCCTGTTGTTTTGCTAATTGAAGTTTAATTCTGTCTGTTGTTCTCTGCTGCCTGACGGTTTTTTTTCTGAAATGAACTGAGCCTCTTTTGTCTTCCCCATTGACAGGAGCTGATATGGATGTGTGCCTTACAAGCTATGGTCACTGTAACTATGTGTCTGGCAAACATGCCTGCATATTCTACGATGAGGTGAGTGCCTGAGTGTGGTGTTTTGTTTTTGTTTTTTTAAATTTTATTTTTATTATTTGGCATGCATGGCAGTGGGAACTGGAGGTGCAGGCAGGAGGTTGTCTTTGTGTGGTGCTCCTTTGTGGACTACAAAGTAAGAGCCAGGGCTGTGAATGGTTTCACTCCAGTGAAGGCTGTGTCAGCGTTTTCTGTCAAACCCTCTTCTGAAGCACAGAGCTCTGCCAGCATGATTTCTCTGAGCATGGCTTTTCTCTGACAAAGACTGACCACAAGTAAGCACTGTCACTGCTGAGAAAAAGTCATAGAAACAGTTCGATACTTTTTGATCCAGCTGCATTGTTAATAAAAGCTAAACTTTATGTGTTGACATCAAACCTCAGCTGGAACAAAACAGGGAACTGCTCTGAGTCTCTTGCTTTGAGGTGTGATCATGATGCAAAGTGTTCATGCCATCTGCAGTACTCTGTATAAATTATTTATTTAACTAAAATTTCAGTTAAGCTCTCAGCATGAACAGAGGTCTACAGTTGCTCCTTTACTACAGTCCAGAGATTAGTTTGTTCTTGAAGTAAATAGACTGGCGGGCCTGCCAATAAAAGTGCCACTGGAGATGTCTCTTAGCATGGAAACAGTCTTTGAAGCAAGATAGTCTTTTATACCACCATTTGTCAACCAGCTACTGAGCAGGATCCAGGATTAACCCACAGCCGGCTTTAGCCATTCCTCCAGTGCACTACAAGCTACAGAACACACTCGGTAATGGGATCTGGATCTTAAATCTGTGTTGAAACATCTCCTCACAGTGGTCAAGCCTAAATCAGGCTCTAGGCACTGAACTTCTTCCATACTCCAGCAGGCCACCTATGGCTGTGGTCGCTCTAGAGGGAGAATTCTGCCTCCCTAGCTCTGTCTGCTCTTTCTGCTTCTGGCCATTGGCAGCTCACGCTTGGCCTTGGTCTCTGCGGTCTAGCAGGTTACTTGAAAATTTACTCCCCTGTGCATGGGGAGTTTTTGTAACTTGATTAAAGCTCTGTAGTCCCTGGGGGACAAGGTCTTCAGCCCTCAGATTTCTTGTGAGCTAACCTGAAATCTCCTCCACTCTGTCAACATCCTCTGCAAAGCTCAGTTGAGCGTGATGCTGCATCTTGTGGCTGCTGCAACACACTGGCACCCCCCTTGCTATCTTGCATCTGCTTTCCAAAGCATGCTCTTTCCTGCTAGGCACAATTCTTGGGCTAAGTTTGCATCTAGTGTGCCTGTTAAAATGGTGTGCTTGCTTTGTGAGAATTGGCTTGAATCCCTGTTTCCAAAAGATCTGTTGGTCCAAGTGCAGTAGGTAAAACCCACTTCTCTCCAAAGCTGCTTTGGCCTTCCTTCCCTGCCAGGAAGCAGCTCTTGCTGGAAAGCTGGCTGTTCTGTGAGCATGGACCGTGTACAAGGTTCAGGTTGGTGGTCTCTGAAGCTGGAGGATATTTAACTGCTCTTACTTAACCATCAATGGCGGTATGGAGAGAGGGGTTGTGTTTCAGTGCTCCAAAGGGGTATATGGGCAGAAGCCCTTCTGACTTGATGTCTCAATTCCCTCCTCTTCCCTTTTTTTCAGAATACGAAACATTATGAGCTGTTGAACTACAGTGAGCATGGGACGACCGTGGACAACGTTCTGTATTCGTGTGACTTCTCGGAGAAGATGACGCCCACTCCTCCCAGCAGTATTGTTGCCAAAGTGCAGAGTGTGATAAGTGAGTGTTGAGACAGCACCAGCCCCACGTAACACTGCAGGAAGCTATTAGAGGGGGACAGGAGCGGGTGCAAATTGATTCCTTGTTTTGGTGCCCCTTGTTCTGCAGTGGTTGGTGCACCTCTTGCAAAAGGGGGAGTCTCTCCACAGGCCTCAGCCTGGGCTACACAAGACCTTCCTCTGCAGGCTTGGGGAGTGCCTCAGCCTGTGGAGTGCTCTGCTGTTCACCCCGCTCCTGCCTCCGGTGCTGGAGTTAACCAAGCTCCAGCCCTGGCTGATGAACCCCAGTTCAGAGCTGGACTGAGGGGTTCCCTGTGCGTGTCCTCTCCCAGGCTGTGAGTTAGTGATCTGGGCTGTGCAACAGGCATCCCTTCCCCACGTGGCTTACTCCTGCTCTCCACCTGATCAGCTTCCTCTTTTTTTGGCTGCCAAAATAGATGTGTAAATGCCTCTACCTCTCTGTGGGGAGTGGCCTTTGGGATGATTCCTGTTTCCCTTTTATCAGCCGCTCACTGCAGATGACTAAAACACCTCGTGGCTGGAGGATCTTACCCCTGAGGCACCTCAGCAGTAGCCCCTGTTGATGAAAACGAGCTGGCCTGCCTGGATCTTACTTTTTTTTTTTCTTTCCCAGAACGACATAAAAGCAGAAAACAAGAAGAGGAGCTGCACGAAGAAGCCGCTGTGATGAATTCACAGGCACAAGGGCAGCATCGGAAACCCTGTAACTGCAAAGCCAGCAGCTCCAGCTTAATAGGGGGCAGTGGGGCTGGCTGGGAGGGGACAGCCCTGCTCCACCATGGCAGTTACATCAAGCTGGGCTGCCTGCAGTTTGTTTTCAGCATTACCGAATTTGCGACCAAACAGCCCAAGGGTGACACTGCCTTAGTACAAGACATGGACTTGGAGGAGAAGCTTTCTCTGAAACCCCACCAGGTGCCCGTGCTGCGGTCCAACTCAGTTCCCTAGGAATTTTAGGAAGAGAGCTTTGGAGTAAGGAAAACGCTCTCAGACTCTTGCAATGCAAAAATGTACAGAGGTGGGATTTTCTATGTCGGCCCAGAGACTGTTCACACGCCATTTGCATGAAATGAAGAACGTTTAACTTTTTTTAATTTTTCTTTTTTTGCTCAAGTTTTAGGGGCATTTGCACATATATTTGTACTATACATTTCATTTTAAAAGGAAAACTGCAGTGAGAGCAGGACGCGTCAGAGCGAGGGGCGACCGCTGTCTGACTCGAGGACTCTCTCTGACAGATAGTTCCCATGCAGTTGTAAAATAATCAGAAACTTGTTCTATTTTGTGCCAGTGACAATAGTTTTATATTAAAAGAGAAATACAGTTTTCATACAGCAAATCTATACAATATCATTGTTTTATTTAATGTAAAGAAGCGCTCTTCCTCCCACAGTTATTTTTCCCATCCCTCCCTGCTATGGTTGCACTACAAGTAGCTACTGTGTATTATGGGCAGTGAGAAATGAGTTCTTTTCCTGGTGTCCATCCTATTTTTATTTCAAACAAGGAAAAGTGTTGGATTCTGTGTAAATACATCAGTGATGGCATTTTTCAATGTTTTAAAGCTGTGTACAGTGCTACATGTGGTATGACGTTCCTCAAATTGTCTGTTGTAGCAGATCGTTTGTCGTAACCTGTCTGTCTCTTTTGTTTATATGCCACCTCCCTGCAGCAGAACAGCTAGTTCCACTGTACATAGTAATTGTAACGTTTTAGACTTTACAGAAACTTTCCTGTATTCTGTATATAAAAAAAAATACTTCACATTCTGTTTTCTGACTGTCTGTCTGAACTCTTGTCACCACACGCCGGAGCTTCCCAGGGTGTCTGACGGCAGAAGAGGAGCCCAAGCGGCGGCCTGCTGTCCTGCGTGGGGCCGTGGGAGGACGGCGGTGGTCCGGGGCGGGAAGGGCGCGGAGGGGTTTGGGTGGGCAGGGGCCGGGGCCGTGGAAGGCGGGCGGGAGGCTGCGCCGACCGCGTCCTCTCGCCGTGTCTCCTCCCTGTGCTCCGGTCCCGCAGCCGAAGGCCTCTGCAAACGGCCGCGCCCGTAACCCCGCGCTTCGGTTGCGAAAGGAGCAGCGGGGCCCCTCGTCCCCGTCCTTCCCCCCGCCCCGGGGAGGCGGGGCGGGACGGGGAGGCGGTGGCCGTGCCGGTAGCGGCGGCGGGATGGGGTGGGCGCTGCTGGGCGCCGGGCTGCTGCTGGCCCTCTACA